GTCCCTGAACATGCGCGTATTGAGTGGTTGCGGGGTGCTACTCACACGCCCCCCCCCCACCACCCCCACAAGCAAAAACGGTCCACATTTGTAAGAGTCGAGGATGTACTGAATATAAAATTTGTTATAGATGCAGAGCCTCAAATTATCAAAATCGAAAAACAATATAGTACGGGTATTCTTACACAAGCAATAAAATAGTAAAGATGATGAAAGGATGCTTATAAGGGATGAACATGGGATGGCAATGATGATGAGAGGATGATGTTTTATGATATGATGTGGATTATGATGATAATTATGCAGCCGAAAGATGAGGCAGAAAATGAATATGATGATTGATTCTGTTTCAAACCAGACAGTAAAAAAATACTATACATTATTGTATCAATTATTTCTTTCTCTGTGGCCCGGATGCACACCTGTCTCTTATACACATCTAGATGTGTATAAGAGACAGCATGAGATCATTTTGTTACTAGGCCTAATTAAATCTGATTTGATATAGTGATTTTAATTAATTTATACAAAAAAAATTAATTAATTAATATTAGACATACACTGACATATTAATGGAAATAATTTAAGCCATACTCAACAGGCTTAAACAGGCGTATAATATATGTAATTAACTCTCACGCATGCGATCATTTTGTTACTAATTAAATCTAATTTGATAGTTGACACGTAGGCCCTATAGTGTACAAACGTATTTATTAAGTTAAGGATGTGCAGCTTACTTATGAAAAGTACGTTCGTTCTGTACGTAGTGACTACAGTCGAAATAAATGGGGAGGAAGGGGGAATGAACAAGGTAAAACTGAGGTGAATTTAAATGTTTAGGAAGGCAATTTTGAAGCGACAACAGGTCTATTATCTTTTTGAGGAAACGGCGCTGAACCTCATGTTTGGGGTGGGGAGGGAATATTTTGGGGCGGAGACGCAGGATTTGGTGACAAGGGATGCATGAGAGGGCGCATATCTTTTATTGAAAGGTGTGGGAAAGCGACATTTGCATGGTGAGTCCACTCCATACTCAATCAGCCATGGTTGGGTCTGAGGTGGGAAAATTTGAGGAAATAGTACATCTAGATGGCCGGAAATGGCACTTTTATTATAGTAAAGTTCATCATCATCACATCACCATTATATATAGTCAAAATGAAGCTCCAACAAATTTCTCATGATGTTTTATCAGGGATTTTCGGCAACCATAGCGATCAAATTAAGATGTGTGATGTACCATAAAACTAAAAGACACTGTCTTTGATGTATTTACTTTACTTTACTTTACTTTACTTTACCTACTTCAAAAAGCTGTGAGTCCACACCACTTCAGCCCCACCATAATTGAGGCTTAGGTGAGAACATTTGAGGAAATAGTAGGCCTACCTCTGATGACCGGAAATGACACTTTTATATAGTAAAATTCATCATCATCAATCACCATTATATAGTCAAAATTGAAGCGCCAGCAAAATTTCTCATGATTTTATAAGTGATTTTCAGCAACCATAGAGATCTAGTAATTAATAGGCCACATTATAGTAATTATAGGCCAATTAATGTATCATAGAAAATAAAAATGAAAAACACTGCTTTGATGTATTTAATACTTTACATTAACAAAGCCGTGAGTCCACATCAACCTCAGCTCCACCCGCGTTTGGGGGCTGAGTTAACATTTTGAGGAAATAGTACTTCTAGATGGAGGAAATGACACTCTTATAGTAAAATTCATCATCGAATAGTCAAAATGAAGCGCCAATAAATTCTCATGATTTTTTAATCTTTATCAGCGATTTTCGGCAAACAGAGATCTATAATTATATCAGTCTCGTGATGTACCATAGAAAATAAAACTTAAAAACATTGTCTTTGATGGATTTAATTCCCTACTTCAAAGTCCATACCCATCTCAGCCCCACCATGGGGATAAAAGGTGGGAAAATATTAGGAAATTGTACGGTACCTCTCGATTGCCGGAAATGACACTATAGGCCTATAGTAAAATCATCATAGATCTATAATTAATCGCTCTAATGTACCATAGAAAATAAAACGTTATTTACTTTACTTAGTACTTCATGTGCCGAAAACCAATCTTATTACACACTTTATACCTATCAAAATTTAATAAAGCCAAGGGCACACATAGGTAATTAAGATGTTTGTGGGCAGAGATACCGGTAGCTTGCTATAAAATAAGATACCGGTACCGTAATCTGGCTGTAAACTTTTTCGTTAAAACCTGGGTAATTATGAAGTTCATTTCAAAAAATTTCAGGCATCTTTTTGACTTATGAAATTACATTGCGACGAAAAGTGATGGCACTCTTCCCCTTAAAAATATGTCCCATGTTCCCACCCCACCCCTGCGCCCATCACCACAGCCCCACTATGGTTGGGGCTGATGTGGGAAAATTTTGAGAATATGGACCTCTATGGTGTCTGGATATTGCACTGCCTATAAAATGAACATTGCAATAGGCCGACAATTTTTTTTTTTTACAATTTAGGGGGTACGATCGCACTGTCTGCACCCCTCCACCCACCCCTGCATCCAACCAAGATATTAATAATGCAAGCAGTGTATTGTAATAGAGAAAGTATTAAAATAGAGCAAATACAGAGAGTCGTGCCAGCATAGCTTTGTCGACTAACAGTTGCATGGTCACTGAACATGCGCGTATTGAGTGGTTGCGGGGTGCTACTCACACGCCCCCCCCCCCCCCCCCCCCCCCACCAAAAACCCCCCCCCCCCCCCCGAGGATGTACTGAATATAAAATTTGTTATAGATGCAGAGCCTCAAATTATCAAAATCGAAAAACAATATAGTACGGGTATTCTTACACAAGCAATAAAATAGTAAAGATGATGAAAGGATGCTTATAAGGGATGAACATGGGATGGCAATGATGATGAGAGGATGATGTTTTATGATATGATGTGGATTATGATGATAATTATGCAGCCGAAAGATGAGGCAGAAAATGAATATGATGATTGATTCTGTTTCAAACCAGACAGTAAAAAATACTATACATTATTGTATCAATTATTTCTTTCTCTGTGGCCCGGATGCACACTTAGCCTCTTGGCTTTCTGTTGATTCATAAGGCATTAATTTATGCTAAATTACACTGGAAAAATTAATTCCTCTAATTCTTATCTATTGATAAGAAGGGGCTTTCAAATTTTGTGCTTGTGCTTTTATATTTTTTTTAATGTAACTTCTTTTGTAAATTTGTTGGTCTTGAACGCACCGTCAATTGACGAGTGCCACTGTAACAAAAGTGTAAGTTCAATAAATTATTATTATATTGGCTGCATGCGTCTAATCAGCATTGGTTTAGCTCCCAAGGAGAACCAATTTATTTTCCGCAACAGTGAATGCATTAATTACCTGCTTTATTAATACAGTATTACACTTTGTACAGTACAATCATGGTGTGATGATGATAATGATAATGATAATAATAATAATAATAATAATAATAATAATAATAATAACAATAACAATAATAATAATAATAATATTAAGACTATTAATAATATTAATAATAATAATAATAATAATAATAATAATAATAATAATAATAATAATAATAATAATAATAATAATAATAATAATAATAATGATGATAATATTACACTTGTATAGCACATAATGCTCGGAAATGCGTATGCGCTTCACATCATAAAAATAATAAATAAATAAAATATCTAAACAAATACACAAAAAAAGATGATGAAGATGAAAATAATAAATTAATTGAATTGCTCGCCACATAGGCCTACCTTTATGAACTACTATTTTGACACGGATGAAGGAAAGTGACTTCTAAAAGATCAAAATAACGCCGCGACATACCACCTCAACACAATTAAGGACTAAGGTGGCCATGCAGTAATTTATCTAGATTTTTAAAATATGTGTTGCTCAATCACTGTGTTTTGTGCGGAATTACCATGAAGCAAAAAATGGTAAATCAACTTTCTGGTCAGTCTGCAGATTCACAATGTGTAGGCCTATACTAAAAAGCAACTAACGCAGAGAACATACCGGTAACAATTTAAATGTATATAGAAAACAGAAAAAGAATGTAGACATTATCTAGACTTCTGAGCCACCATCACGTATCATTGCAAACTGTAATCTTTAGATATAGTACATAATAATAGCCTATAAAATATCTGTATATTGTATTGTGTGTATTGAGTTAAATCAAGGCAATTCTACAGTATATTCTTAAAAGTTAAAGCCACTTATGAACATAATGGGGGCGGGCTCTTTAAAAGAGGACGCCCTCACAGCAACCTTTTTACATTTTCACCATTAGAGGAGACGTATCAGTTAAAAGATGGTAATAAGTTCCTTCGAATTTTGTCATTTATCGGATATTCTTTTCAAAATTATTAAAAGAAAAGACATCTGTTGTTATTTTGCTTTACATTTGTTAAGGATTTCCCATATGATGCTTATTGTTTTCTAAAGATTTATCAAAGATTGTTATTGGCTACTCGTCGTAGGCTAAAGGTGTCTATGGTATTCCCAGTGACAGTACACAACAATAGGCCTAGTTTTCGGTTGCATACCTACTTAGTAGTGTCTTTTAGTGATAAGTCGTAGTGGATAAGGGAATAATAGTCACCCAGGCTTAAGTAGCTAGGCCGATAGGTGGCTGGCTTGCCTAGTATGGACTTACTACTACTGTACAAGATACTGCAAAAACCAGGCCTCTATCTATTAATCTATTAGTCTATAGTCTAGGGGCCTAGGCTAGGCCAGGAAGGAGTCAGGAGAGGGGGACGTAGGCCTAGCCTAACTGAACTTCAGAAGTCTGCAGCCAGTAGTGTAGGTCAGTAATGCTCCAGCCTGTGGCCTCCTTAATCCTTGTGATTGCTGGATCTGGTCAGTTGTAACCTATACAAACATTTAAAAGCTAAATTAAATGATGTTGGGCCAGCCTATTTCTTTAGTCTAGACTTTAGAATTATCCAGGTAATTGTTCAATTATAATTATAGTGGTAGTTCTGTATTACTTAAGATTAATTTCTTTAGTCCCTGATAAAATGGCTAATAATAGTATTACACAGAGCTGAGAGTGTAATAAAATAACTTCCTTAATGTATGCATGCGACAGCATAAAATGTTTGTCAAGAAAACTAATATCATTATGCAAATTAAATTGATATTTTTAACCAGAATTTACTTAATTACATTTCAGCCTTCACATAAATCCTTCAAGATTAAGCAGAAGCTGGCTAGGAAGCAGAAACAGAATCGTCCAATTCCTCAGTGGACAAGAATGAAGACTGGTAACAAGATAAGGTAGCTGTGGCTAGATTGATATTCACATACCTTATTTATTCAAATAGAAACCCGCTTTGAATAAACAACAACCCCCCCCCCCCCCCCCCCCCCTCATTTGGAATAAATGCCGCCAAAATGACTGTAAAAAAAACCAAATGCAAACAACAACATTCTAAACGCATTCTTGTTCTACTCCAGTAGAAATTAAGGGGCTTTTGAGTATATATAATTTACACCAAAAAAATAAATGCCTCCCTTGAATAAATTCCCCCTCAAAAACCGTCAGCATGCCAAATCATTTACAAGTTCAATAAACACAAAAGGCTCGTCATTTAAAGTTTTTAGAGTACTTTTTATGGCACTGAATATATCATTCATGCTATTAATGATATCGATTATCAAATGTAAAACTACAAAATTTCGAGGGTTTTTGCAACCTGAATATGTTAATTTAAATTAATCTAACTGGGAACAAAATGGTTAAATACAGTACCTAAACAGCCTACTACTGTATATAAACATACTAAGTCTTTAAAAAAAATGTTTTAAAAGGGACATATGAAAAGGATGCGTTATAATTGAATTGGTTGCTTTAAGGTTTAACCAACAATATCATGTACAGTACTGTATTACTAAAGTTGTTTTATTGTTTCAGGTACAATGCTAAGAGGCGTCACTGGAGAAGAACGAAGCTCAACTTCTAAAAACAGTACGCTATATGGAGATTTTGTGGTTATGTGGCATTGATCATTTTTATTTTCAACATTTGAAGGACGACTACCTGAATCAACATGGACTTTATCATATCAAGGATATTTTTAAGGACGATGTCATCAAAATCTTAGCTGGCACCATTGTCTATCTGGTCTATTCTGTATAAGGAAATAAAACTGATCGATACTCAACTGTTGTCAAGGTCTTTTTAATTTTGAAATTTGGTATACAGTTAAACTTGCCTAAGTTGAATAATTTCTAAGTCTATCTAATTTTACATGTCAAATTGTTGTGTTTTCCATTAATGAACAATCTGCAAGTCGAATTTTATCAACAATACTCCAATGGCATTTTGGATTCGACTTAGGCAAGTTCAACTGTAATGATTCATTTGTAGGGTGGGTTGCTATAAAACAGTCTTAACCCATTGATTATGAAAGTAATAGCTAAACTGATTAGACCATAGGATGGTCTCTCAATGGTTTTCAAATACAGTCACCCTCCATATTTGGAGTGGTCTCACTTTTTGGTGTTGGAAATTAGAAGAAAATCTGTAGACCATTATTTAAATGGCAATTACAGTGGCTAGTCCAATAAGCATTGATACATTCTATAATGGTTGCTTTAGAAAAAAATAATTCCCAACCACTTCCCCCATTCTTATTGTGTTTTGGTCAAATAGAGATGCCATTTTTCACACACAATTACACAAATTCTTTATTTATACTATGTATTTATAGATTTAATTAAAGTCATTGCATTTATATAATAGATACTTGCTTCCAATGCCTCAAATTTTCAACATAATTCAGGAAAAACAATAACAATTGTTATATTAATACATGACAAAAATTTGAAAGTACAGTATTCCTCCTAATGTTCATAATACTGTATAGGAATTGAAAAATTAACCGACTTCTAAGCATACGCCACAACATTAACAAGCAGCTTGCATGGAAAACAATTTATACCTAGCAATTCTGTATTTTTTCACGATCATAAACGTCACCTTGCACAACAAACATGCATCATTTCAGAGCTACGCAGGATCGTGAAAAGGTTCTTGAATGTTGATGGCCAGGTTATGTTATTAATGTAGTATGCATTATTAAGAATGTGGCTTAGCTGTAATAACAGTTCCCATTTCTATTTTAAACTTTATGAAATAAATCCTCTTGATTGCTAATATTTACTGCTTATTACTCATCAAAGAAAGTTAATTCCAACACCAAATTGAACTCCACCCTGTATCCTGCAAAGAAGTATGAAATGAAGAAAATAAGTTGCATAGTTATAGCAATCAATTATTACAATACAGATGTATAGCATTACTGTAGTTCTTTCTTTGAGGCCTAGAATGGAAAAACAAGATGACTGTAAATTTATTTAATTAAAAATTATTAATTTATTCAAATTTTTTTTTTAACTAGATGCACACTAGACACGAAAGCAACATCATCGCGTAGTTTGTATTCTTCAACACAGCGCGCATCTGTATTGTGTCTAGCGTAAAACTTGAAAATTAAACCATAAATGGAATTCACTAATCAACTTCAAACCATGTTGTATTTGTATACAGTACTGTAATACTTACTTGTCTTCAGCCTGCGCTGATACTGGTACACAATAATTAAGTTCAAACCTTGCTATCCTACCGAGTCGTAGTAAAATACCAGCACCATAACTACATCGCACAGTCTGTCGCAGCTGTTGTAAATCTTCTCTCCAATTAGGTGTTTCTTAAAAATTAAACACCAGAGTAAGAGTTAGGAAAGGATATGGAGTAGTTTGCTGATGATGGTGATATGACGACAAGCACTATAAATTACACATTGTGCAAAACCATTAAAAACAGTATGGAATCAATATAACTGTTTACTGGATGGAAACAATCGGTGAAATATTCTCTAAACAAAAGTGTCAGGGGTAGATCCAGGATTTGAAATGAGGAGGGTTCAAAATATTTCTAAATAAACCCCCAAAAAGAAAGAGAGGTGGGGGGTGGGTCTGGAATTTTGATTCCTAGATGGCCGGAAATGAGCTTTGCCGATTTCTGATGTGTCTTTTAATGACCTTTATGTTCTTCAAAATACAAGGTTTTCCCCCTCTTGAAAAAGGTCAGGTAATTTTATCTCTTCCTATAGAGAAAAAAAAAACGAAGACATACTGTAGGCAATATATTATTATAATCCAACAATATTGAATACTGTAGTTGGATACGTAGTCTTTCTTCATATCAATGAACCGATAGGCACGAAGAACGCACTTTCATACATAATTAATACGTCGTCGAACCAAAAACAGTGTTTTTAATTTTATTAATATTGAAGGCTAGTTGAACTACTGTAGCTAAGCCTAGTTTGTCCAATATGCCAACATATGCCTAGGTGGGTTAGCATGCATTTTGTAAGCCAGGACCCAGTAGTATTTTGTTACGTTTCTTCACAGGGGTGTTCGTTCAAACCCCTTGAAACACCCCTTGGATCCGCCACTGGTGTTTATAATTCCATATTTTAAGGTGATTTTCTTGCAGTGGCTAATGATGATGATTTTCAAGGCAGTGTGATTTTATATTGATGATGATATGGGTAGTGGAGAGCATATTTTTTGGCAATCTTTGGAAGGCAGCCTTCTGTTTTTGAAAGATGATGAGAAAGTTAATGTGGTACCAAGCATGTTATACCTAAATTAACATTAGCAAGATGTCCACCATTCACAAACAGGTGTGTTCGGAAGAGATCCCCAAAGCTCCCTCTACCGGGTCTGAATGGTAGAGGTGTATACAGGTGTAGACCAGCAGCCATGAACGCCTCAGCACCTACATAGTCACCTGAAAATTTTAAAAATTAATGTGTCATTAATGATTTTATCAATTTATTTTATTTCTTTCACATTCTACAGCAAATAAATTGCCAATTAAAGGCTTCTTTATGCAGCAAAGATTTTCTCTTGAAATACACAAGAATAACATTATAATTTCTCACCATTACTATGAGGGCCGATAGATCGCATTTGAAAACCTCTGACTGAGGTCGGACCACCCAAGAAGAAACGATCAATGATAAGTGATTTAGAATCTCTATATGGCTTCATTAATCCACCTTGCAATGTGCACGACAAAACCTAAAATTAAAAATTAAAAATTGCATATTTATAACATCTAGAATAAAAAATATCATTATCATCATATCAAAATATAATCGCCATGCTTATCATCTTTTATCTTTTAATATTATCATTGCTACCTGCTGCCAAACCCAGAACCACCATAATCATTTACTTTAAAAATCAATAGTATTATTATCCACATATTAATGATAATGACCAAAAAAATGAAATACTAGTAAGTCAAGTCTTACAGAATCAAAGAGCAGTTTCTTGTTAAGCTGAACCTCAAACTCCTCCTTCAGGAACTTAACATCCCCTCCAGTCTCACCAGCTAACTCATGAGCAATTCGAACCAGGTATCCCTTGGATGGGAAAATGTGCTCATCTCTGGTGTCTCTTGTGAATGTATGCTGCAAGCAATAATAGAATGGATGATGCTCAATATATTTTAATTTTTGGAAAGTGGAGTAGTTTTTAGTAGAAAGAAAAACACTGGTACTTCACAGGATTTGAACCCAGAATCCTGTAATTGGAAGACAAGCATCTTGACCACCAAGCTACATATATATTTACATGAGGAAATAAACTAAATGTTAATCTGGGTAACATTAAATGCTTACTGTTTTTTTCAGTAGAAGCATGTTACCTTTAAAGACGACTTGAGGGAGTGGCCAGCTTCGGACCTCACATCAAATGATGCTGTTCTACCAAGACAAGAAGTCTCCCTCCAAACACCTTCCCATCTAAAATTGTGACGATTAAACCCATTGGGAACCTTCACAAAAAAGAAAACAAATTATAATTACTTAATCATAAACAACTATATAGTTTTAAATTCCTTGTGACTTATAACAATGCAGTTTTAAATCACAAGGAATAAACTGTCATCAGAGGTCCAGTGATAATGATATTTTAAGCAAAAACAAATTTTAGTCAACAGTTTGAGAAGAAAAAGATTGAAGAATTATTACATATTGGTTGAAGAAACTGACGAAAGGGAAAGATTTACACAGGAGATGGATTATGTTTAATCTCATAAAAATATAAATAAATAAGAACATCCATAAACAGGATAATAAACAAATATTAATTAATTAGTAAAGAAATAATATGAGTGATTTCCAATATATATGTACTTACCACAAATTCAACAAATGTTCCTATGTCTGTCTCTTTAAATGAACTTTGAGGAAAATCACCATCACTCTTAAAGGCACTCACAGTGAACCTAAAGAATGCAAACAAAATACACAAAGTGTATAAATCATAATATTGTCTGTTGGCCAAACACTTAATAATTGGACATTGATCAAAATATTTAGTATTATAATTTATATGATGAATAGACTTACTTCCTGTTTAAATCCTTTCCATAAGGCTTCAGGAAAGTAACACTGAATCCATTTGACTTCCGGCTGCTCCTGGAGTATTCAGCCACTAGGTTCTCGGCCCTACCACACAAGTTGGGCATCTTAGCACCAAGTGCCTATCAATAAATAACTATAATTATTAACAATCCAATGTAAGTAGACTCAGTGTGGTTCAGAGTAATTCAGGAGGAAGATTCAAACCCCTCTTCCACCGCCCCCACCCAAAATTAATCAGCTTTCTTACCAAGGTTCCCTCATTGTTGCCAACAGTGGTGTGAGCACTGCCCAGAAGTCTGCGTGTCTCCTTCACCTTAAAAGTGATGTCCATTCCATTGGGTTTAGCACCTGGGCCTGTGGGAAGAGAAAATAATTACTGTTATGGACAACGATGTGAAATATCTGTGGTGACTTCATGTAAATACTGACTAAACAGACAAAAATAATCTAGAATTCACAAGTGTACAGTAGGAAAGAAAAACATAATTTTAAGGTAGACATTAGGCAGCCTGTCCACAGCCAGACACACACACACACACATTAAGCTGCAGAATCTTCAGCATGTTGAAGGCAGCAGCATACAAGAAGAAACTAGCAGAAATTTACCTTTAGCAGTATCAACCAAAACACCAACTGAGCTGAAGATTCCAAGGGCTTCAAGGCGGAGCTTAGCCTCTGCTGACCTCTGGATGACATCCTTAAAGTTTTCAGATTTGAGAACATCTTGCACTTGCGGAATGACAAGATCATTTTTGGTTCTCCCTAAGCCTGTGATGTGCACTTTTTGAACCTTACACTAACCAAGTATCAAAATAGAATAAAATATTTTTGTTAGTATTTTGTTCCCTTATTATATTCTTCATCATTACTAATGTTTCTGCCAACGGCAGTTCTTGATATCTAGGCTCATTCACTTTTCCATGCTGCTCCATCATGTGCCAGATTTTTGCAAAAGATGGGGGTAACAAGGATATGCCAACACCTCTTATCTTTAAGCAAGTAATACTGATGAACTTTGAAAGTGCTGTTTCTACATCTGTTTATTTTTTCCTTTTTTTTTTTGGTGAGAGTGGTTCATAATAGCTGGGGGTGATCAATTTTTACATTCAATTCATACAGAATAAAACAATAGAAAATACAATAAAAACACCTTTAAAGCTGATTATATAAATATTTTGAAACAACTAAAAATATGAATCAAATTATAAATTGAATATATAAAGATATAAAACAATAATACATTATTAAGGAACTCCAAAAATATTTTATACATTATCAAGAATACTATCAAAATAAATTGATATGAAATATTTTATTTAGTCCTGATTACCATTATAAAATACTGTAAATAAATTCTATAAAAAATAAACGAATGGCAAAAACTCACTAGGAAAATTACACCTTGATAAATGCTTAAATGATAAGGACTTACAGGAGTTGTACCCTTGAATACATGCTTCTGCACATGAGGGTGATGGTGTTTGGATTCCATTGTGTCTGTGGGTGGTGGTAACATCGACGATGGCTCCTGAATTTCAAGAAAGGGCATAACATTCATATTATCTCTTGATCATTTACAACTTAAAAGTACTTATCAAGAACTCACAGAGTTGTGAAGAATAAATTTTCATCAAGATCATATACCATATAAATGATTCACAAAAAGAAAGGAAATGCACTCCCTCACTCATCGTAATAAGAATATCATTATTAATTATTATTAATACACCTTTTTCATGCTCCGGTAGACATGTTCGACCGATGACAAAAAATGCTGAGCAGTGAAGTGTAACCAACAGAAATAACACAGCATTTCGGCTATATTTTTTGGAGGTCGTATTACTTAAAAAATAAAAAATCCTTAATGGAGGATCGTATCAACGTAGTTTTTTGACATAAGTTTGGACAGACTAAACAAATTTTCAATTTTTAAAAATTCATACAGTACGTAGATATATCCTTTGCGAACATTTAAGGAAAAATAAAGTTGATACGACCCTCTGTTAAGGAGTTATGATTTTTTAACATCACCTCCAAAAATATGGCTGAAACGCTATGTTATCTTTGTTGGTTATGCTTCGCTTCTCAGCATTGTCTGTCATCGATCTAACATGTCTACCATACTGCCTGTCTCTTATACACATCTAGATGTGTATAAGAGACAGATTTTAAGGTGATTTTCTTGCAGTG